TTGCATTTCTTTGCAGGTAAACCCTGTGAACACCAAAACGCTCCTGAACCCCTAATCACATTAGTGGATGGGGGATTATGGAAAGGGCGGTATGACGTGGGGCATGTTTATGCCACGGCCTCACCCCGATGTAATACGCGAGTGGTTCCGGGGAGGTGGCTTTTGGAGAGTTTCGCACGGGCCACTTGATGGATAGTTTCCCTATCCCAACGTCCGTTAAAAAAAAAACATACATACATACTGTCTACCAGTACACACAAACTAACATAGCAACAAGACTAAAAGCACCCCTATGTACATACATACGCATACACGAAGCTTGCATGGCAAGCACATACAAATTTCGCAAACGCCAACTTGGATAATCATGCGCACCAGCATATGGAAGAAATTCGCTACACAAAACACATAACGCGGAATAAGCCCACTCACTTTTCAAACAGCTCATACAAAACCAGAGCTAAAGCTGCCAGAATGAACTGAACCAGCATCAGTTGTCCGTAGGTAAGCACGGAGCGCATCCTGGGCTTCGGGCCTATTTGGGACGCTCTTGGGTTTCCTCCTAGGAGGAAGACTGATTGGTTGAAGGGGGTTGCAAGGGGGGGAATACCCCTCAGGCAACAGGGGGCGTGGTCCGTTTGGGCTTGCCCAATTCCGAGCACCCCTGCCTGCTTGCGAAACCGCGCGGCTAGCGGGCGCTGAAGGGGGGGGGGGGGAGGCGAACCACCTCCCTGCAGCGCCTAACGGCCACGAATACATACGGGGGGACTGGGCAACCTTTCGATGCCCTGGGGGACCGCACTACTCATCAGTTGTCCGTAAGGATCACCAATCTGGACCGTCAGCACCGCTACCGTCCTAAGGCCGAGATCGCTACCGAGGACCGCCCGCTATTCACCGTCATCGAGGGCCGCCGCAATAATCATCCCCACCGCTAGGGCCCGCACCGCTGTTCTAATCACCGGGGGCCGCTATTACCACTTCCGCCCCAAGGCCGAAGCTACAACCGTGGGCCACCCGCCATGATCGCCGAGGACTGCGAACGCTAACTATCGCTAACCAGGGCCGCTGTCAGCGTTGCCACCACCAGGGCCCGCTGCTTCTGTCTTCATCACTGGGCCGCCACAATTATCGTCGCCCCAGGCCGCCGCTACTACCCGTCACGAGTACAGTAATCGCTACTGCGAACGTCATCCATCGTCGTCCAGGACCGCTGTCACCGTTGGAGTAAAAAAGGGCCGCATTCGCCCTTTGCCACAATCAGGGCCGCGTACAACACCACTGCGGGAGGTCGCTGCCGCCCTCATCATTACCTGGGCCACTGCCAACGTCACCGCTTAGGCCGTCACCGACACTGCAAGGGAACTGCAGGCAGCCGTCGCAGTCGCTGTCACAAACGCCGCGACTGCTCTCATTGCCACGCTCTTCACTACGACTGACGCGTACCACTGCCAATCTTGATGTCACTAGTAGCACTCCCGTCGCCGTACAATTACCCACCGAATAATCTCCGACACCGACTGCCGACTCTCTCTTTACCTTCCGCTCTCCCCTGCATGACAAGTTGCCGGCCTTCTAGACAGCCGCGTGTGTGTGTGGGTCAGCGTTGCCGCTTTGGTAATTTTTTACCAAAACTGGTAATTTTTTTCTTTTTAGGAGGAGTTTGGTAATTTGGTAATTTTTTTCTCAATTTGGTAATTATTTTAACGTAAGTCTTTTCTTTTAAGTTTTTAATACTAACTTATTACATATAAAAATTTATAACTTTGAACCTTCTGACAATTGCACGAAACAAAAAAATTTGCTTATGTACTTACATATGTATGTATCTACACCTTAAGAGAGCCAAAAATTGAAAGGGCTCTTTAATGTAACTTTTAGTATGAGTTTGCAATATAGCAGGAAACCACCCATTTTTCCCAATATGGCGGCTCGATCACAGCCCCTACAGTCCCACAAATCTGGATTTTGGATCATTTTTACCTGCCGGAACCAATGGTGAAAGAAAATAATTTCACGGGACTAATTAAAAGTTTGCGATTAAGTACGAATGTGACCCACTTATAAAATAGTAAAAGTAAATTTTATCTACCGTTTAACGATACATTTGCTGGTTTCATGTTTTGGTTTTAAGTTATGTAAAATAAATTATGTAAAAGACTGTATGTTACAGCCCATTTCCACCAAACGCTTAACTACAGTTAAGAGTTTAGATATTTTCAACAAGAGGTGATCTGCAATGTTTATTTATTCGTTTTTGTTATTTTCCTTTCATTTGCTTGTACCTAATATGAGCAACTACCTCCTTCGAGTTGTAATCTGCTTTTTTCCAATAGGCATAAACTGCAGTAGAAATGAACTATTAAACACCTTTTAAATGTTTATAAATCTCTGAGCGATTTTTTTCTTTTATGTTTTAGGGCCGATTGTTCAATGTCTGATTAGTACAAATCGGAGGTAGAAGCTCCGGTTAAATACATTGAACAACCGGCCATTAAAAATATTTGTGAATTGTTATAGTCGGAACACATTGAAAAGGACAACCACAGCTGTAAATTGTTCGTCTTCGTTATCTAAACGCTCAGTCGATGGTGATATGAATTTTTTGAACGCGGCAGCGACATCATGCATTTTTATGAGTTTGTCATAAAAGAATGGGAAGAACTCATTTTTTGGTCGAAAAATATAAATAGATCTAAGCTGGCCACAATCCCAGACGTGGTGTATTATCTACATACGTCGAAAAATAATTTCCAATTTGTTTAGAATATTATGCTCATAAAAATTTGGTAATTTTTTTCTGAGTTTGGTAATTTTTTTTAGAGGTTTGGTAAAAAAATTCAAAATCTTTGTGGCAACACTGGTGTGGGTGTGTTCGACTTAATACACAAATCATTGTGTTTTATTTGGTGGGGGTTAGTGGGACCTTCGCTGGACTCTCGAGCGGCTGAGCATACCTCAGCCTTCGACAAAACCCACCTCATAAACTAAAAAACCAAATGTATTTAAATTAGGATACTCCAGATCTAACTTTTCAATGTACCCAATATAATGATTAGCAAGACTGATTGGAGAAAATAGTAGAAAACATTACTAAACAATTTAAATTTGTAAAAAACCAAATGTAATTCAATTACGATATTGAAGATGTAACTTTTAAATGTAACCAATATAATTATTAGCAAGACTGATTGGAAAAAATAGCAGAAAACATGACTAACAAATTAAAATTTGTAAAAAACCAAATTCAAGATATTTAACATGTAATTTTTAAATGCAACAAATATAATTTTTAATAGATTA